ATTGTACCATGACTCGTTTGGCGAACAGTTTGGCCTCAGACGTGTGTGAATATATATATATATATATATCAAACTCTCAGTGAGCTCATTCTTCAGAGAGAGGGGCTGTTCACTATACTCACTGTCTGCCGGGACTTCCCGTTCCGCGTAAAGAAACTTGAGAGTTGTAGACCCAGTGTTTTACAATACGACAAGTCAGGCGACGAGTGTGTACCGCGTTTTGAATGGTTTTCCAGTGTTGATCAACACTTAGTGGTGGGGTTGTAGTTAACCTTGCGATTAACTCCTTTTGGTAGTCGGCTAGCACGGCCGGATCAGAAAACTTGTCGACGTCAGGCTGTTTGCAACTCGTATTTCTGCGACGAACAAACCGCGTAGACCGCTAGGCACAAACCAGCGCGTGGCCGGAGTTCAAGCATGTGGAGCAATACGAATGGCAGCCTTTCATACAACCTCTCCATCTGTAGCTAAAAGCTATATGATCAACTACGTTCACATCTTTGCCGGAGGGGTTACACCAAGTGGCCACGTGACGCTTGAGGTGGCTGAAGTTCGTCGTAACGAGAAACAGACTGTGTTCTGAGCATATGCTAAGAAGTCTATCGATTGATCGATTAACTGACAGATGCTATCCGCCAGCATGAGTCGAGTAAGATGCGATTGTTTATCAGCAAAGTGGGCTGAAAGTCACGCGATAGAGGGATACACTAGAAAGGGTTATTCACAAAACCGTGGAATAGACTCGTCGTCCGGACTTACTACAAATAAAAAAATTCTCTATATTACCGTAGAAACCACACAGGTGGTCATCGCTATATTGGTGAAACTACAGCAATCTGTAACGATAAACGCGATTTATGTGATGACCTGACGAAAGCAAAATAACTGCTATACGAATCAGAGCATACCTTGAGGAAGACGATTAAGTACGAAGAAGCGAGCTGTTATTTCATACAGTTTCATGAGAATCACAATCAACAATTGCAAGTAACAGAGGGAAAAACAACTCACAATCAATTTGCGCTGCATCTCGTCCATATGAGTGTTGTACTCTTTGCATCTTTGTGAGTACACCGCTCGAAGTGAGGCACTTTGAGCCGATTCTTCTTTCAATGCTTTCAGTTCGTCGCGCAGTTTCTGCATCGTATCCGTGACCAGTGATTTCTCTTTCTCGTATTTCTGCTTCAAATTTGCCAGGGCGGTCTCGGCTGTAGATTTGTTCTGTCGGAGCATAGTGCGTAGCGCCCAAATCTGTTCTCTTTTTGTCTCATTTGAAGTCTTCAACTGACGAATTTCTTGCTGTGCCTCTTCCAAATCCATATTTTGTTGACCCGATGACTAGAAAATTAGAAAAGCAGAACGGAATATAGAAATCATTTTTCAACATCCTGAACTAGGTAAATGGGCATTCCAGCGCACCGACTCATCTGGAGGTTGAACGGTCAGTGCCTTTATTTTGACCCTCGTTACGCCCCCGAACCACCTCACACCAGGTCAAAAAAACCAACGGTTAGCGACACCCACGGCACATCACTCGGTGTCTCTAAAGATCGGTTGCGATCATCCCGAGGTCCCCAGCCAGGAAGCTTAACTGGACCTATGTGATCCAATACCATGGTTAGAGATCTCATACCCTCGTGCCAGGTCGTAGCTTGACCACTCATGGCTTTTTTCCACTCACTACATCCCTCGCTCGCCGTGGCAACCTATATGGTGACATGCGTAACACATGCCCCGACCACCGTAATCAATGAAGGTCGACCAGTGGGCGACCGCGGTTACCTACAACTCTGCGCCTGGCCTCAGTATCGCTCGTCCGGCTGCCCCACCAGATTAGTGCAGTACTGCGTAGACAGCGATGTTCAAACACCGACAGTATATCTTTATCCTGTTTTCTTAATGGTCAAGTTTCTGCGCCGTATAGCAGAACTGGTCGAACAGCCGGATGTCGCGACAGTGCCACAGATGTCTCAAGTTGGCAAATGCCAACCGAGCCTTCTGTATGCGAGCTGACACTTCAACAGTGATGCGTCTACCGGGTGAAATGTAGCTGCCCAAATAACAAAACTTATCTACTTGCTTTATTACTTCCACAGTTAGAGTGAGGCTCGGTGCTGGACCAACCCAGTCTTGTAGTAGCAGTTTACACTTTGAAGGTGCTAAACGCATAATGAACATGGTTACACTGGCGTTCAAGCTATCCAGAGAAGCACGCAACTTACCTGCATCTTCGCTTAGCAGAACAATGTCGTCTGCATACTCCAGGTCAGACGGTTTGCCACCTGGGAGTAAATCGATGCCGCTATTCTCGCACGAGGAGAGTTATTTCCATAATCAAATCTATAACAAAGTTAAATAGAAAAGGAGAGAGAGAGGGCAACCCTGACGAACTCCTTTCCGTGCTGAACTCGGGTGAAAACGTGCCGTAAGTTCGGACTTAACTTCGGCTACGAGTATAGAGGGATCGTGATATTGAAATTAGCATCTCGGGCAAACCCTTCAGGGAAAGGCAGAAACAGAGTTTAGGGCGATCGACTGAGTCGAAGGCCGCTTTCAAATCAAGAAAGACAGAGATGGTGGGTCTACGAAAAGAATGTCGGTGCTCCAGAGTCTGGCGAAGAGTGAAGATGTGGTCGATACAACCTCGATCAGGTCTAGAACAAGCCTAGTTCTCACGCGTGCACCCTTCACGTGCGGCAGACAATCGACGGAGTATAATGTCAGCGAGTAGTTTACAGAGGACGTTGATCAAACTAATTCCTCTGTGGTCTTCACAGGAGGGTCTGTCGCCTTTCTTGTAAATCGGTATGATCATCGATTCACACCATTCAGCTGGAACCTCTTCCCTTTCTCGTATTGAGCGGAGGAGTTTCGTCAACTCGAAAACTAACGCTGAACCTCCATTATTAAGCGCCGATGGGAACATCCCGTCTGGACCGGAGACCTTATGCCTTTTGAGAAAACTTATTTCCCGAGAAACCTCCATTTCAAATGGGGGACTAGTATCAACTGGGAGTATATGCCCAGTTGAAATGTGGAGTGACAGCTCAGATATCGATGTTCAGCCTATCGATCAAGACGACGTTGCTGATGATGAATCCGTGTGCCATCGGATTCCTTAATTACCTCACGCATATTTTCCTGGGGCCCGTATTCCTAATTAAACGGAAAAGATTGCGACTATTGCCAACAGCCGAAGCTTTCTCCACCTCTCTACACTGAAACTACCTATCCACCACTTTCCGCTGTCATTCCTCAGACTCTTGATGAGCTGCCGTTTGAGGGATTTGCGCGCTGTGTCACATGTGGCATCGCGACGGAGGGTTCTACGGGCATCCAGCAGAGCAGCCGAGGTCGACGAGATTCATTGTTTGTGTTTTGAGCCTACGACAGGGTCCGGTGTTCTTTATATCGATATGTGCATAGCTTCCTTGATTTGCATCCAATTTTCATTGAGTCTCACGGATGGTGGTTGAACTGAGAGGCAATCGGAGAGTTCCGTTTCTAAAAGGATTTGTAACAATCGCTGACATTGTATCGTGGGTATCCGTCGTTGGTGGTTTTTTGCGGTTGTTGGCCAGGCGTAAGCAGAACTTGGCTCGCACCAAAGCGTGGTCCGCATCCACAGGTATTGATCAGTGGCAGTGGCAATCTTGGATGGCA